TACACATCTTATTCCTATGTAGAATGGAGTTAAGGTTAATGATGCTAACGTGCATGTTCTCGATGTATCTATTTCTCTTATTTTCAAAAGATATTGTTTGCTCAATTGGGCTTAAATGTGAACGGTACTGGTGTTGATCACTTATTGGTTAGAGGGGTATGTTTCCTCTCTGTGTGGCGGGGATGGAGATGAGTTAGTTGATCCTATTGATGAGATTTCTCGTGGTGGAGGAAAGAGGCGTGGGAGAAAGTCTAGGAAATAATGTTATTGCTTTGGTTTTTTGTTCTTCTTTTTGTGCTGTTGTTTCTCCTTTGGCTTCAATTTGGCTGTGTTGTGTGTGGTGTGTTGTTTTTTGTCTGTGGCTATTTTGTCCCTTATCTGTGTTGGGGTTGTTTTTGATGGTTTTGGAGCTTGCATGTGATCCTGAGGGGCTGATTTTGGTGGTTTGGGCCTGGTCTTTTGTTGGTTGTTGGGTTGTTTTCTGCTTTCCTCTTGCAAGTGTTCTGCTTCTGGTGTTGTGGACAACACATCCTTGCTGGCTCATTTGATTTCCTTCTTGGTCAGTTTTTCTTCCGTTTGATGTGGTGTTATTCCTTGTTATTGTGTGCCTTTTTTTATTGTTTTTTTTTCTATTTTTGTAATAGATAGAATAATCAATTGTTGTATTTTTAAGAGTTGAAGTTTCTTTAAGGACCTGTAATTTTCCTTTTTATTAACGCGTAGGTCCCTCCGTAAGTTTTAAATAAAAAAAAAGGTCTATGACATTTCAATTATTTTTATTAAAATCAAATACTTCATGAGACACCCATATTTATCACAGTTGATCATAAAGCATTCTTGAGATGATTAGGTGTCTTAATGACATTGAAATTTGAGTGGCCTTGCGCACATTGGACTCCCATCATGAAGACACTCATTTTAATTACAAGTGTGTTGAGTTTAAGTTTGGATGCCTAGTTCATCCTTAAAGTCTCTAATTTACATGCATGCATCAAGATCAATTATATGAATTCTTTTGGTGATGTGTATCATGTGTGTATTATTTAGCAATGCTACTATGCATTTACTTTATTTTTCATCAAATATCAATCTTTTCAAAATTCCTAAATTTTACTCATTTTTTTACTTCAAATCAAATAACTTCTTAATCAATTTGAATATGTTATAAAACATTGCGGAGTTATCTCAAGCGTAAAGCTTTGGTTAAGTGGCGGATAAAAAAACAAAATTAAAGGCAGTCATTCTACAAAATCTATTTTTATTAAGGCTTCATTTGGGGCAGCTTTTGGCCACAACATTTTTCTGCTTTTAAGAAATTTTTATATAAAAAATTACAGATTTAATTAGGCCTCGTAAAAAAATCTTTTTTTCTCTTTTACTCTCTTATTATCTATCTTCATTCACACTTCATTCTAAACATATAATAGAAAAATATACTAACTTAAATAACAGCAAGGGACACATAACCTTCAAGTTAAGCAAGAAAAATTAGAAAGAAAACTGTCCAACCTGCTTGCAGTGCCACGACTCAGGCTTGGAGTACGCAGTGCTCCACTTTCTATTTCTATCACAACTCACAGCGCCGCAACATTGGCTCTTGAGCACTACAACACTCTACTCTCTATCTCTAAGTCAAGACTACAACACTGTTGCACTGCCTCCTACAGCGCTGCAAAGCACAAGTGTACAATGCTACAATGCTCTAATGTACAACATTGCAACATTGTACAACTATATATAAAAAAAATTTAAGGAGCAAGAACTCTGACCCCAAGAAGAGGGAGACACCTGCAACCCTCCAACAAATATGACTGACGAAATTAAGTATTAAATTCAACTAATATAATTGAGATTTGCATCAAGATTATAACCCGATTAATTGATACAATTATATTCCACAAAAAACTAAGATATTGTTGATTGACTTGCTTTCTAAGGCACATCCACTATAAGCCCGGGGGTAATTGTCCCCCTCTCAAAAATTTTAAAAATAATATATTATATGATTCCTTAGGTAATTTGTCCCCCTTCATCTATTTTTTAGTTTTTATTTCAAGAGTTTTTAGGCAATTGTCTCCCCTAAAATTTTTAAAATACCATGATCTTTAGGCAATTATCCCAACACAATTAAGCATACATAATGTAGAGATGTTATTGTTAGGGAACCAAAATTATTCTTACAACTAAAATTTGTAAAGAAAGTCCAAAAATATCTTTACAACCATAAATACAAAGAGAAATATCTTTACGAAGAGAAATATCTTTACGAAGAGAAATAGTAAAGAAAATTCAAAAATATCCTTACAACCAAAATTTGTTCCCAGGACGTTATCCCCGAAATCCCCGCAGGACCCTGACATATTTGTGAAGCATACCACCAACATATCTGCAGCGCCCTCAGAACAAATTTTGAATATAAAGATGTTTATGAAAAAGAAAAAATTATACTTTTACTTATAATTTTGTCCATCTGAAAATTAAGGCGGGTTCCGACCTTCCTTGCTTAATAAATCTGATTGTAAACTTCCGATAAAATAATCCTCCAGCCTTTCTGGCTATTTGGATAAACAGCGATATATTGGTTGCCCAAATTTACATAAATAGAAAACCACACCAGAAAGCTGCTAATCCTGTACTTTTTCTATCAAGAAACTACTTGCTGGGTTCTAATACTTTTAAAAACTATCGTCTGACGATAGTCAACCCTCACCAAGTCCTCGCGTAATTACTCCCAACGAATCCTCCGGTGGTTAAATATACCTCCTAATGGAGTTTCTCGTCATCTTTTTTAGGGGTGTCAATTCGGGTCAATAGGTTGGATTCAGGTCGAATTCGGAACTGACCCGACACTATTCAGGTCAACCCGAACCCGACCCATTTTTAAAAACGGGTCAGGTTTTCGGACCCGAACCCGACCAGACACTTATGACCCGGGGTTGACCCAAAATTGTTAGTTTTCGGGTCAAAATCGGTTCAATCTTCGATTTTCGGGTCAAAAACGTTCAATCTCGGGTTTTCAGGTCAAATATGAGTTTTCGTGTCACTTTCGGGTCAATTTCGGGTTGTTGGGTCAACCCGAACCCGACCCGATTTTTAAAACTTGTTGATTTGTTGAACACAAACCCGACCCGTTTCGGGTGGGGTTCGGGTTGACCGATTCGGGTCGTGTCAAAAATTGACACCCCTAATCTTCTTGTGTTCTTAGCAGGGACAAATCTGCATAGAGCTCAAGCTGAATAATTACTCATCTTAAAAAAAATCTTTTAATAAAAGTTTTAAATATTTGTTCTGCTCAATAAATATGTTTACTCAATTCTTTTTTTTTTCTTCTTCTAAATTTATGCACATGTCAATCACATGTTATTCAGGATCAAAAGAGAGGCTGGTTTAGGTGTCATTTGGGACGGCTTTTTTACTACTTTTTAAAATAATTTTTAATACAAAAGTTAAAATTTTTATTTTAAAAAATTATTTTAAGAAGCAGCAAAAAAAAAAATCATTCCAAACTAAATCTTAACCCATACCTTTTAAGATCCCCTTAATGAAATTCTAAACTTTGATATTTCGAATTGCAATAATGAGAGGCTCTCAAGAAGGATAATGAATCATCTTAATATCTGTTTGGATTCTTGGAGGAAGAGAGAGCTTCTTGAATGTAGAGGGAGAGAAGGGGAGAGCAAATAGAATTTGAATATTATTGCTTGGCTTGTAAAGCTATTACATTATTTTGCAAGTATTTAAAAACAAACTCATGAAAGACTCTAACTAATGGCTATACAAGACTACACAAAGAAATGCCTAAAGAAAATATAACTATAGCTAACATGAAATTGTACCAAATTCTAACAATCTCCATTATAGTCCAATTTCACAAAAAATTGGCCAAAAAAAAAAGAAGAGACATCTCGAAAGCTTCGCTACCTTGATCAAGAGCCACCGCGTCACCTACGTTAATCAAGAACAGTGTCCGTCATCACTTCTTTGACCCATCTTAAGGAAAAAAATTTCCCTTTAATAGAAATTTTAAATTTTTTGTTCTACTTAAAAATAAGTTTACTCAAAATTCTATTTTTTTTTTTCATTTTAACTCTAAATTTATTCAAGCATCAATCACGTGTTTAAGGATCAAAAGAGAGGCTGATTTAACCCCTACTTTTTAAGATCCTGTCAATTAAATTCTAAAAATTTATCCACCGTTGTTTAGCATGGTTGGTGGGCGAGTATGATTGGAAACCCCCCAACACGTGTTTCATTCCCCTCGAGTGGCTGTGCCTCTAAAGGAGGGCCCAATCAAGTGCAGGCTAGGAGCTTTCTAGGATATGTGCCTTTTCTAGGTCAACCGAGGATTAGTCACACCGCCAAGCGCCCTTTCGGGGGTGACAACGCGTGAATATCCTGTTCCAAAAAAAACAAATCTAAAATTTGGAATTTCGAATTGCAATAATGTGAGGCCCTCAAGAAGGGAGAGATTATTAGGTGCGGAGTGCTGACGGGGAGAACCGTCCGCACAAGCATTGAGTACCTAGCAGTACCCGCACTCGGTACCCAGTATTTGTACGGATGGTATGCACTTGGCACCTAATAATTTTTCCTCCAGAAGGATAATGACTCATATTAATACCATTATAGAAAACGAGCTTTCCTTGACACAATATGCTGTACAGGATAAATTCCAAAATGCTGTATTTTTTTCATCAGGAAACTGTCCTATCCCTCAGGACTCAGCTCCGGCTGAAACTGAAAGGCAACTTAACTAGCTCAGTGCTCCTAAAAAGAAGCCATAGAAAAGAAACTTGATGGAGAGTAAAGAGTGAAAGCAATAAATCAGAAAAATTAAACACTGCGGTGGAAACTTCATAGCCATTTTCCAAGCAATTTCCATTCGCCTGCACCATTAAGATCCATTTATAATCTCCACCTATAAAACAATCATTCAGTATCTCCATGCAGACCGAACCCAGCTCACTCGACCCGTTTCTTTTCATCAAATAAGACGGGACATGAACCTCTTCGTTGCCTACAATTCAATTCTTGTAACTTTCACCACCGTTTATTTCTTCTTCTTCTTTCTCCATCACTTTCTTAAATCCAAATCTCCATTTATGAACACAATCCCCTTCATAATCATTACCAAGTTCAATACACTCTCAACAAGCTTATTTCCTTCGAAAAAGGATGAAGACGGAGCAGACGAGAGCAGAAGAAGTTTCATTACAGCAAGTGATGCTTTGGTGGTGATGAGGAGGCTTGGATTGTGGAGAGGAGATGAATACTGCGAGGATGCCGGAGTTTTTGAAGGAGCTTATAGGTTGCTGGAGGAGAAGGAGGCGAGCTTGGAGGAGTTGGAGGAAGCTTTTGCTGTGTTTGATGAGGATGGTGATGGAGTTATAAGTGCTAATGAGCTTAGAATTGTGTTGAAGAGATTGGGGTTTAGAGAAGGGATTGGATTGGAGGAGTGTAGAGGAATGATTCGCAACTTTGACTTGGATGGAGATGGAAGGATTGGATTCAAGGAGTTCAAAAGCTTACTTGAACAAGCTTCTTAATTTATTAATGATGAAGTATATAAATGCTATACATATTTCGGCAGAAAGTATGCGTATGTTTATGGTGAAAACCTACTGTCTTTTTTTTTTTTTGAAGCGTTTGAAGTGTGTAACCAAATTAATCTGTGAAGTTACCGCTATGAATATGGATAATTGTGAATGTAGAGCAGGCATTTATGTTATTTGAAAGCTAATTACAAGCTGATTCAGTAAATATAAAAAATTCAGCTGCAGTGTCTCATCAAACAAAGCCTGTGTTTGTAAAGTTGATGATTCATATATCATCAAAAATTAAGCAGGATCAATCGTGAATCTCAAGGAAAAATTAAGTTGAAAACTTTCAAATTAAAATCTGGGATCATTCGAACTCCGATTTCAGCAAAATTATAGTCAAAATGAGCATCTCGAGAAGACGAATCCAACGACACCAAATTCAACCCAAACCAAGCCCGAATGAGTCCAAATTGAAGACCCGAAGTGCATTTGAAAGGTTCAAACCATAAATTGGATGACTAAACGATTTCCAAATGTGACGGATCAACGAAACAAATTCAACGAGTCTAACATTGCTGCATGTCGATATCATTAAGATACTTAAATACTCGATAAACAGTATACTATCAAGGGAGTTGATATCGGCCGTCTGTTCAAAACACTCCCAACTTGCCCTTAATTTTCTCCATATTTACTAGCCATGTAATTCGAAAAAAATTATAAATAGCCCATCATTCTTCACATGAGGGTGGAGGAAGAAAGGAGGGACCGGATGAAAGCGAGAGAGGGAAAGAAGAGAAGCGAGGAAGAGAAATTTGAGATCTCTTTTGCCACCAAGCTGCTTCTCAACAACTGTCCGACCATCGACTTTCGTCTGACCACCAACTGTTGTAAGACTTACCACAGGCCACCGATTGTGGCCAGATTTTCACCCGGCCAACAACTGACGTTAGATTTACGTCCGGCTACCGACTGTTGGTGGACTTTCGCCTGACCACCAACTGTGGCCAGAATTACGCTCAGCCACTAACTAATGCTGAATTTATGCCTAGTTACCAATTGATGATGGATTTACGCCCAACCACCAATTATTGTCGGTCTTCCGCTTGACCTCCAAGTGTCGTCGGACTTATGCCTGCCACCATTTATTGTAGTATTTCCTCTCCATCGCCATCGCCATCGCCAGCCAGCGGTCTTTTCAACCTTTCTCGCCCACCGACTACGGTTCATCTAACCCCCGTCACTAACTATGATCTTTTTGACCTCTTTCTCCCAACGTCTACGGTCATTGCTATTACTGTCACCCGACTATGATCTTTCCGATCTCTGACGCCCACCAACTACGTTCCTTTCGACCACCGTCACCCGTCACCCGACTACGATTTCTGACTTCTGTCACTCGCCGACTTTGGTCTATCTGACCATCATCTCTCGACTACGGTCTCCTTGGCTGTTGTCACACTACTACTATCCTTCCGACCACCATCACCTAATTATGGTCTTTCCGACCTTCGCCTCTCGCAAACTATGACCCTTCCAACCATCACATGACTATGATCTTTTCGACCATCGTCCTCCGACTTTGGTACTTTCAACCGACATGACTCGCCGACTATGGTCCTGCCGACCAAACGAACATGTCAACACTTTTTCTTTCAATTCCCACCATGTAATGCACAATATTTTATGTATATTTTCTATATCGAGCCAAGACCTTCCCCCAAAGAAAGGGTCTCATTTGTAATCAACTGCAAACAATTGTGAATTCATTTAAATTGGGCAAGACCCTGCAATTTCTCCCCTTTTTAGGGGTTTCCACATAAAAAACTCTAGTGTCTTTTACGAATACTGTACCCGTGCTCTTTTATCTGTATGCGTGTTGAATCTTCATATAAAATTAAGACGCTAAATTTTATATTTCTCTACCACCGCAAATATTCCAGAACACAACAATGATCAACGTTAATCAATGTATAAGATCATTATACACCGTCCACACCAATACGAGTGCCAAGACTTATTGTTGACTTCTTAGTCAATAGTCACCCCTTTTTAAAGGAGTTTAACCCTAAACAAACAAGCAAATATTATGGTAGACAATTGTTTACTAAGTCTCAAGTCTCCCATCTTTAAAGGAGTTCAACCAAACAAGCAATATCTTATAGAGTTACAGACGCAATATGAATCTGATAGACCATTCCAATGCCATGTAATAATGATGTAAAGAAAAAGTTTATATAAACCCTTTCTGCTGCGATTAATCATTCTAATAATAATTATTTAAGAAATTATTCATTCAACGTTGTTTATTCAGTAGAAGATAATCTAAAACTTGTTGCAAAAAATAAGCTAAGATCGAGATGCGAGAAGAAACGAGCAGCTGCTCGAAGGTTTCATTTTAGGAAGTTTATTTCCACTGCATGAAAAAACGATAAATCCCACACCGCAATGGAAAGACGTTTCTTTTGAAAAAATTTTGGTGACGTATAAAAAGATTTCCGTTGCCGGGACTCGAACCCGGGTCTCTCGGGTGAGAGCCGAGTATCCAAAGCCGAGTATCCTAACCAACTAGACTACAACGGATTTGCTTCTAAGATTTACTTTTTGTATTTAAATACTTTTTATTGGTGCTGTGTAAGTCGATAAGGTGGCTAAGTCTTATAAATTATTTATATCAAAATTAAAAGCCAGAATTGTACAGCTCAAATCACTCGTGCTAGCTCAAGTCAGATTGGGTGGCTAAATGAGTTCATTCACATGAGTTAATCTTATATTTATTAAGTAGAAAAAGAAAGACAATTATATGATAAAAATGCATAGATATAAAAATAAAATATGGTATTTCAAAGATTTTTTTATGATAATTTATGTGAATAAGATATATACAAAGTCAACAATAATAATAAATTGAGAGCTCATTTGATACATGCAAATACATATCAAAATAAGGGTGCCAAGTTAGATTCATAGTTAGATTCAAATTTGACCAAAAAATAATCAAATACGAATATAATCAATATGAAACTTTTCAGCGAAAAATCTCAACCCATGCCTAACCCGAAAAGATAAAAAATATATATTTAAATATGACAAATTAGCATCTATACAACCCAACACTACAGGAAAAACAGTGAAAACCGGCGGTTTGAACCGGTGGTTTAGAAGCCGTCGGTATTACCGACGGCTAAACCGGCGGTTACGCCGTCGGACGATAACGACGGCTTAATCGACGGCTTAGCTACGATAAACCGTCGGTAATACCGACGGTGTCTGAACCGCCGGTAAACCGCCGGATATAGACGCGAACCGTCGGTTTTCCGGCGGTTTTAGTCGACGGTGATAAGTGATTTTTTACCGGCGGTTTAAACCGCCGGAAAACCGCCGGTAAAAGCCCTAATACGAGCCCCCTCGCTCCGCTCATTTCATTTTCCCTGTTTCCTTCTCTCTCTCGGCCGCTCGCTCATATCGCTCCTCCGCTCGTCCGATCAGCCCCCGACGAAGGAACTCCGGCCTCCGACCCCATTCCGACCGCCGCCGACCCCTGTCCGACCGCCGCCATCCCCAGTCCGACCGCCGCCGACCCCTTTACTCCGACGCCCGACCGCCGACCGTTTCCGACCCCAAACAAACCGATTTCTCTTTTAAGGTTAATTTTAATGGTTTTTCTTTGATTATTTGTTGATATTATCTTGTTAGTTAATGTTTTATACTTTAAAAATGTGGGAGAGAGTTATGGTGCATATGTGAAAAGTTTAGTTAATGTTTTATACAACCTGTAAATGCTTTCAAATGGAATTTTAAGTTAATCTAAAGCCAATTTAGGCTTCATTTGGGACGGTTTTCTTACTTCTTCTTAAAATAACTTTTTAGTACAATCGTTCCAAACGAAGCCTTAATTTGATGAATAATAAAACTGCAAAGCTTCGACCTGTAAATGAATTTAGTGAAAAGTTTATGGATGATAGCAAGTGATGGTTGGTTGCGAGAGCAGAGTTAACTTATGGTGTATTTAAAAATGGGTGAAGTAACGGATGACATTTGAATGCATAAAAATGAATTTAGAATTCGTAAAAATTTTATTGGGCATTCCTTTTTGGATAATAGCCTCATCACAAAAGCATTACCTCTGATTTAAAAAAAAAAATGTTAATACAAGTACAATTGTTGTACAAAAGCTGATAATGTGTTCAGTTGTAAGCTTATGTTTGGGATGACTTTCTCATTGCTTCTTAAAATAATTTGATGGTAGTTTATTGTATTTAATTTTTTTATTAATTAGTTGATTTTGTGGAAATTAGTCAGTAAGCATTATGAATTCTCATAAATAAACCAGATATTGTATCTGATTCATGTGTTTTATTAGTGATTTGATGATGATAAAATTTGTATGATGTTTCTTTGATAAAATTTGGGTTTTTTGTAAAAGTGATATTAATTTAACTAGTATTGATGATTTTGATCAAATTATTCATTGCAACTTCTCTATTTTTAATATTTATAATATTGGTATATAGTTTATTTAGTTGCACAAGACTTGGTAGATTGCCTCTTTGGCAATGGCTTGTTGACCTTGAGAATTCTTATAAGGAACATTGGTTTATTAGAGGTGACTTTTAAAGCATAAAAATCTATTTCGATGTATAACAGATTGTTTATGCCTCCAACATGTAGGGTACGTTTACTTCAACGTGCAAATGACTATCCAAGAAGAAAGATATTGGATGTATAATAGATTGTTACCGGGTCGAAAAGGATTGACAGTTGAATTTATACAGGGAGTTGAAACTTTCATTCAAGTTGCATCTCAACTGCCTCATTCGCGAGCAATACTTGCGCCCTATCTCTGCCAATCTCGATCTCCTTGCAATTTTCGAGGGAGCTTTCGACGAGCACGACCTCACAAATCTCATTTTCATGATCATCTACCACATTAATCTTGTAGGAGCCGGTGGAATCTGTTACACCTTCGTTATGATGTTCAACCTTATTTGTAGTAAAATGCGTGCACTCGACCTTAACTTTAGCACCTGCCATCATAAACACCATATATCTATAATGCTCAATTACTCATTACTCGATCAATTGATATGTCTTTTAGTTGATTACATATATGTGAGTACCTGAGACGTATTCGGTGATGTTAGTTTCAAAGCCAACACGGCAAGTATCGCAATAGACACGGCCTTGAACGGAGAAGGTGTCACTGGAGGAGACTAAGGCAATAGAAGAAATGAGGCAGAGGGTGCCGATGAGTTCGAACTTTGTCATCGCCATGATCGACTTTTCTGCCTTTCTTCTTTCTCTTTATTTTGATTGATTTACCTTCCCGACCCCTTCTTAGATGGAGAAAGGGCATGGATTCTGGTTTATAAAAAGGGGGATTTGTTAGGTCTGTGTGGTTGTCTTTGGTTTCTATTTTTGGAGAAAGAGAGCTGGAAAATTGAGAGGTGAGGGATGGACACTTGACCGAGTTTATTGCTATTTTTCTTCCTAATTTAGAAAGCTTGAGTGGTGCTCACAATTTGAGCTTCTATGAAGCGATATTTTGGTTAATTTTGAGCTATAATTCTCAATTTAGTTTAAATTTCAGGGTTCCTAATTATAGCCATATTGTCATTGTTGAAATGGAATTAACTGTTCTTTGATTATTTGTAGATATATACAAAAAAAGCTTATTTAAATGATCATAAAATGATGAAATTTTAATTACAACTCTAATTCGTTGGCTACCATTGCTACTCACGACCGTTCGTACTCGCCATCATTCACCAACAGCCACGCCAACCAGCTGTCACCCATAGCCTTCCACCACCACAGGCAATTACTAAACACTATCAATATTCCGCTTTACACTACATTTATTTTAAAACAAGCCAAACAATAAAAATTGCTTTCAAATAAATTACATTCCCTTTATAATTTATTTTATTATGCATTAAGGTTCGGGTTGACCCGTTTAGAGCCGGGCCAACTCGGGTTCAACCCAAACCCGACCCATCAACCCGAATTGACACCCTACTTTTAAGGATCTGAGATGTTGACATGGACACTTGGTGTTGAGATGGGTTTTTGTTGAATTGAACTTTTTAATGATGTCTGTCTGTTATACAGGAACTCAATTTTGGCAGGCAAAATTTATGTATTTTATAACGAATTTTATGTTTGCCAATAAACCGAGCTTCGATCAACAAAAATCTGAAGCTAGCTTCCATACAAAATTTAACTGGTAACTGCTTTTTAAATACATGTATTTGAACTCCTAGGCTTAAGGACGATTATTTTTCGCAGTTGAAAAATAAGAAAAAATAAATGCTCAATCAAATCAGGCTTTAGATTTAGCACACCATTCTAGAGAAAATTTAAACATTTTATTATTATTATTATATTATGGAGCTTGCCCATCTTCAAATACGAAGTTGGATCCGCTCCTGGTGTTATTTACTTGACTTTCTCTTGTATTTTGTGTATGAGAGAATAAAAGCAAAGAGTAAGGGAGAGAGAAGAGAAATATGTACTTATTTCTCATTATTTTCATAATGATTTCCTGTTATGATGTGACTCCCTTGTTTTTTCCCAATTTCGAGTTTTTTCACGATAAATTCTTATGTTCTTTTTTCTGCTGCATTTTTTTTTTAATTTCATCACGTGCTTTAACTTTCATCCCCAACATATATACTCTATATATTGTTCGCAAATTCTTTCATTTTATAGGAATATCTTTTTATCTTATAAGGACAAATGTCTTTTAAAGTAAACTTGTAAATTAGTGTTTTTTGTGAGTATTTGAATCTCAATAATATATGTAATTTAGTATCTCAATGAAGTTGCTCAAATATAGAAGTATAAGTTAGCCGAATTTTTTCGGGAGTTAACTCAAGCTCAACTCAATAGAAAGTTTGCGAGCATTGCTCAATAAAACCAACTCTGGTTGCAAAAAAAATAGTATTTCATGACAAAAATTTCTGAAAAGCAATAAAAAATATATATAGTTGGCGAAACAAAAATATGATTGCAATCTAAAATACAAAACAATTAAAAAAATTGTCTGTAAAACAAAGCAATGAGAATTCAATATTTTATAAAGGGTTCTTTCACTACATAAAATTGCAAAAATTGTCTTTTAGTCGAATTAAATAAATAGTTTTTTTTTTTTTTCAATTTGCTTTAAATATCTTTCTAATGAAGAACATTGCGCAGCTTAGCCCAATAGGGTTAGTAAACGTCCTAATAATAATAGCTGGAATGCACTGAATTGAATTTTATAACTTCAAAACTAATGTACTAAGTAATAAATAATTTACCTATGCTCTATAAAAGACGAAAATAATATAAATATGCTGCATTCGAAAATCACTATGTCTTTAGTTTATAAAGAAGACTTTTTTGTAAATTAATATTTACACAAAATAATTATTTTGTGGTGAAGCAGCTTTTCTAATTTTGTTAATAGCTAACTTTTTGGAAATTTGTGTGAACTTGTTCGAAGAGAACAAGTAATAATAAGTTTTTGCATGTAAACTAAACGACGTCGAAAGCATCACAAAAGAAAACGAGCGAGAATTAATACTTTGCAATAAAATATTTATAATGCAAGGAAAAAATTAAATTACTATATTTTAATAATTTCAGAGATTATATTTATGTATTTGAATATTCGAACATGCCAACGGTCTCAAGATCATTATATCTTGTGATGAGGAAGATTAAAAGTGCACTAACGGAAGAGCGAAGTTTAATGATCAAGGATTAAGGATCACTCGACACTCAGCGGATATATAGTACTGATCTCTCAGATCTATAGTGGTCACACTTGATCAATAATAGTTTATGTGTTAATTGTCTAGCCCTATTTTTAATTTTTAATTGCTACATATTTTTTATAATATTTGATGGACTAGTAATTAGGGTTGTCAAAATCGGGTTATGAGTTGGGTATGGGACCAACCCGGAACTGACCAGACACTAGTTGACCCAATTCGAACCCGACCCAACCCATGGACCAATTTGATTCAAAACGCTCGAGTGCAACTGCGGCCAATGGCTCGGCGTGGTATGTAGGTGACAACTATCGCTGTTAGGGAGAGACTACGTGAGGCGAGAACAACATCCGCAGACAACACTGTGCAGGTAAGGGCGGGTGAGCGGACTTATGTGCGACGTGCTGCTGTGCAGACGGAGTCAAGATCGGATGTTAGGGCCTCACGGTGAGGCTACTGTGGGCGCGAGTCACATGAGTGACTGAGCGAGCACGACGAGGTGAGCAACTGAGCGGGATGGTGCAAGTTTTCGGGTCAACCCATGTTGAGTTCAGGTTTCCGAGTCAACCCGAACCAAACTTGATTTTATAAACAAGTCAGAAAATGGAATCCGAACTCGCCCAGTTTGGTAAACAGGTTAACCTGAACCTGAAAATTTTTTGTTCGGGTCTTGGTAAGATTTTGTTGGGATCTTGGAAGATGTTGTTGAGAGAGAGAGAGGGAGGGAGAGAGAGAGACAACAATTGGGGAGGAAAATACCTCAAGCTTCAATAATTTTTCCCAACTCTTACATCAACCCAAGGCCGCTATTTATAGAGCATTACCAAGGTGTGATAACATGCATGAGCAAAAAAACCTAAACCTAAAACAACTCATAACAATCTCCACCTTGATTTAGTTTTACAAAAAACCAAAGAACCACTCCTCATAAGAATTCGAACTTATTGCAATCCAACCGATCGCCCTGGACACCCGTGCGCGCTCCTACCTGCGACTTCGCACAATCCACCTGTCCAATCCCAAGTTCGCGATCATCTTGCCTCAATGAGGTTCTTGATGCTTCAACATGCTCCTATAATTCTCCACCTTGATCGAATCCAAGATCAAGAGTCTCTCTCTCCACCTCTGCAGATGCCTTCCGGACTCCATCTGAATCTTGACCGTAAGAACTTCAACAAGATCTTGTCACAAACTGTTCATCCACGGCCTCATTCATTCTTCCACTTTCAAGATCACCCAAAGCATCTCTAACCAGCAAACAAAACAAGCAAATTCTGCTTCGATTTCATGTAGCCTTCTTGCCATCTATTATCTTAATTGCTGCTTTCTTGAATCTCTTGTTCCACGTTAGGCTTCTCAACCCGCTCCAGGCCCGACTCCATGCCAACCGCCCGCTCAGCACAAGGCTCCCGTTGTCTCTACTCCAGGCGAGGCCCAAGAGTGCTCCACATGCGGTCCTACCCGCGATCAAACCCTTCGTCCCGCTAGTCCCGATCGCGCCAGCCCATGCGTCTGCCTCCAGCCGACTCTACTTCGCCTCTCACCGTGCCTCCGGTATCCGAACTCAGGTAAACGTCCGGCCGACTTGCTCCGGTCTGTCGGCTCGATCAGCCTTGCACACAAAATCTCCACCGTGCCCGTCAGCTCTTTCTTGACAAAACAACACCTCCGTCCAAGATCATGAAGCCGCACCATATGCGCGTCCAACCACTCCAGGCAAGCGTCCGAACCGTTTCAGGCCGATTCAAACTCCCGGTTATGGCTTCCGTCTGATTCGCCTGCTGTGCCGATCGCGGAACCTCCGCGTTCGTCAGCTTCTGTGCGTTGCCGGCAACTTGAACACCTCAAGAACACATTCCTCCATCTCCCTAGCTCTGATACCATTTGTTGGGATCTTGGAAGATGTTCTTGAGAGAGAGAGAGAGGGAGGGAGAGAGAGAGACAACAATTGGGGAGGAAAATACCTCAAGCTTCATTAATTTTCCCCAACTCTTACATCAACCCAAGGCCTCTATTTATAGAGCATTACCAAGGTGTGATAACATGCATGAGCAAAAAAGCCTAAAACTAAAACAACTCATAACAGATTTCGAGCTGGATTAATTTTTGACACCCCTATTAATGATATATAATCCTTAGAATCTCTCTTTCTCACTCTTTAACACTCTTTCTTTTTCTATCTATTGTTACGTCGTGAGCCTATTAATTCATAAAAGTAAAGTCTGAGAATCACCGGCGAACATATTTGGATCCAACGGTAATAATCTAAAATTTTATATTGTTTCTTGTTGCAGGCTAGAATTTACAAGACGATAGAGTTAGGATTTTTCATCTCAGCATTGTACGGATATCCAGCACACAAACAAAAAAGATATAAAACACAAGGATTTTTATGTGTAAAGCCCTGGAAAAGGAAAAACCGCGGGGCCACACCCAGTTGAAAAAATTTCACTAATGTTTGCTTGAGTTACAAGAGGCTGACTCGTCCATAAAATTTAGGACAATCAGATT